GTCAAGGTCCCCACAGGATACTATTGTATCCTCAGCCTCAGCCTTTCACCTGTGAGCCCCTGTGCCTGGTGTGTCTTCTTTTCCTCCAAGGACACAAGTGCTATTGAATTGGGGCTCTAACTTTATGACCTTATTGAATCATAACTACCGCCTTAAAGGCCCTATTTCCAAATATAATTGCACATGAATTTAGGGGGACACAAAGGACCAGTAGTCAGATTGCAGTAGATTAAAGGGAAAGCAAGATGCAGGAAATGGACCCAATGGATATCGTCAACTTTCTGATAAGTTGGACAGTACAGGAGAGGAGAGAGGCCATTATTATTTTTATCATTGTTGTTTCTGATGATATTGAAAGAGAGAGTTTGGCAGAGTTGAAAGCACGTGAGCTGGGGCATCAAAGACTAGGTGCAAATCTTGCCTCTGTCTTTTTTTTCTATGTGACATCCGGCCACACATTTCTAAGACTATCTCAGTGTACGTGAAAAATGGACAATCACACCTCACCATGGGGGTTACTGTGAAGATTAGAATCATGTCAGTAAGGTACCTAGCCCATCTCCTGGCACAGGGCAGGAGCTCAGGAAATGTTAGGTACTATATTAATATCCCCTAAAACACAGGCCACTAGAGGGTGGCTGAGTCACAACGTGAATTCCTATGGTGTAAAATCACACTGTGTTCCCCACAGAGTTTGCCGCTAGGAATCAGAGTTGATGGGGGCCGGTGGTGTTGCTTTTCAACTTATCATATACTGGTGATTGCTAATGATGTCAGGTGTGTTTTTAGAGGCTGTCAGCCTCCTAGAAATAGAAACAGCCGTTTGGCAGGTAGAAGTCATTAAGAAGAAAGGTAGCAGACAGCTGGGAAACAAGAGAGCCTCGGTCAGATGCGTCAAGCGTGGTACTTTCTGAATACCGTACGTGATGATCATCCTATCACACACACACTTAATGCAATTACACTCCTCCTCCGGCCCTGCGCTTTTTATTCAGACTTGGCATCTGCAGAGGAAAGAACCATGTTGGTCATGTGGCTCAGACTGCTGCCTGGTACCAAGGTCAGGAGGCTAATGCGCTGTTTTGTTTCTTTCCGGTTGAAGAGTCAGTAGGTCTAGATGAGGTTATGCTATGATTGAAAGTCTGCTCAGAAAATCTAATTACACTTCCCTCTACTTTTGCCTATGCTGGGTTTCCCAGAACAGTGAATAGAGAACACAGTGATTCTAAAGAAGACATTTAAGGTCCACCGACAGCCTGCAAACCTTAGTGGGAAAAACATTTCCTTAGTGGGCAGCTGCAGAGCTCCAAAGGATGGGAACTTGGGCAGAAACATCCTTTAATAACCAAATTATTCTTCAGTGGCTATGGTATATCGACCTCCCCGTTAGGTCCAGAAGACACACAGATGTGTAAGACTTTGATGCTGTCTCCTTCTGGATCCTTCTGAATTCAGAAAGGTGATCAGACACCTGAGCAGACAGTAGGGTTAGGTAAGGCCTGCTGGGTTAGAGGTAGGGTGTGGACACTGACCAGGGAGTCCTCAGTTCTGCGTAGCGGAACAATCCAGAAAGGCTTCTGAGAAGAGGCTTGAATACTTAAACAGGATCATGAACGATACATAGATTTTAGCAAGTAAAAAAGGAAAGACCATTTGGGGTTGAAGAACTTATACTATAAATAACTCAAAAGAAGCCTCCCTCAGACATTTTTAGAGAAATCAGTCTTTCTTCTGTCTGATGTTATCTAGTTACATTAACTCTGTTGATGGCTTTTATATCTACATTGGCCAATACAATAATATAGCATAATTCAAATCATCAAATCAACAGTAATTTTTAGGAGCAATAAATTTCCTTCATCCTCTCTAACTCAGGGCCCATCAGGTAGAATCAACCTATTTGTTCCAACGATAAAGGAGAAAATTGAAGGAGTCTCACTTTGGCTTTTCTTATTAGTAGTATTATTTTCCCCAAACAGCCCAGCCTGAGGTCAATCTGTTAGTGTCTAGCTGGCCTCCTTCCACCTGCCCTTAGCTCTTCCCACATACTTGGGGTGGACATCTACTTGCTTTTCATCAATTTAACTCTCATCACCTTGGAACTTATTCGTGGCCTTCCCACCTCTTCATGTCTTTTTCTATTATTATTATCCATCCATCACTCTTCTGAAGTTTTACCATGTGACCGTTTCCAACTAAACCATCGTAACATGAAAAATCTAAAACAAATGCGTGCTCTGGCCTTCTGTTACTCATTTCAGACATGCAGCCATTCCAAGTATTTGTTTTCATCATCCTTATTGTTTTTTATAAACTCTTTAATGGTAGTGACTAGGATGTGTCACAATTAAGGGTCCACTGACCTCCTTTTCCTTGCAGAGTAAGAGCTCTGACCCCTCAGTCCTCTCAGTGAAGCCGGATATTAAATAGGTACAGGCGTTAGCAAGGGGCAACCCCATTGGTGTCAATAGCTTTGGCAGAAATGACTGTATTTACCATTGGCTCATCACACTGCCTATTGGGGTCCTAGTGGCCGTAGGACCAGAGGAGCTGAGAAGTAGCTGTTTTCCTTAGACTTTCCTCTCTGAGTCTGGAATCTATAGTCAAGAGGAAGGGTGTAAAGGGAAAGGCCGTGGCTTCATGCTAACCCTGGATGTTTTTCTTGTTAGTTTCTCATCTAAAGTGTGGACTGGTTGACACAGCAAGGAAAATTCCCTTCGGCCTGGCGCCACTGCAAAGAAGCTGGGCTGGAGGGTGCAGTCTTTTTAGATATCAGCACCCACATCCTAACATATCCCCAACCCATGTAAAATTGTTCTATGTGGCCCTACAGCAAGAGTGCAGATGTTACCAGATGTTACCTGGGGGCAGGAGAGATTCTATGGACAAATATCTTAGGAATTAAGCAAAAATACACAAAGTTGAATAGCATTTTTTTCTTTTTTTGTAGCAGGCCCTCTCAAATCCATGTATTTCAATAGTTTGTCCAGACATTATATTCAAGTTTACAGAATTTCCCAAACATAAAATCATTTTGGCATAAAGCATTCTTGAGAAATTGCAGTGTAAATTATAATTCATCAAGCAAAACACAACATTTTGAAGCTTATCTATAACTAGGGATTCTATTGGCTACAAAATGAGGCCTACATGTTACCTGGGACTAGAACTCACCTTCTAATTGAACTTTAATCTTACAAATGCAAACTACAGAATATAATCATTTGTACTCCCACCTTTATCTGAAATTAAAAAAAAATAGGGCCAAGACAGAAGATCCAATGTCCATCCAGTATGCAACCCCAAAACTAGGTTTATGCCAACCAAACTGGCAGCCAGAGGACCTTTGTCGCCTCTGATCTGAGCATTCTATTTGTGGCCCCAAGAAAAACATCTGATTGAATGGAATCCCCAGAGAGTACAGCAGAGTCCTACCTGGCAGGTGAAGGACACATAGGCTGATAATGATGGTTATTAAACCACCACTCCATTTTTATAACTAGTAGTTGGTATAGACACATCAATTCCGGGTTGGATTGTTGGTGACTGTTTTTATATTTTTCCAACTGTACTATAAAAATACTAGAATTGTGCTATCTAGATTAATGAGTAGAATGTGAAAAAAAATTACGGATCTTAGCTTAAAATTGTCAACCCTGGAAAATGTAAAGACATTTGCACTGTGAGGGTGTCTCCTCTGTGGGCAAGTCCCGGGCACCTGGCCATCACACCCTTCCTTTTCCCCGTGTTCCTGTGTATGAGCCCGAGTGAGCAGGGATCCGCCCTAAGACTCTCTCTGTTTGCTCCGCAGACAGCGTGGAAGATGAGCTGGAGATGGCCACCGTCAGGCACCGGCCTGAGGCCCTTGAGCTTCTGGAAGCCCAGAGCAAATTTACCAAGAAAGAGCTTCAGATTCTCTACAGAGGATTTAAGAATGTAAGACCTTTTTTTTGACTTAACTTTTACATGGTTCTGAGAGGATCACTGAGAAGTGAGAGGGGAAGTACACGATTCTATGTGTCTGATCGTCTGTGCTGAGCCCTCAGTGCTGACTCTTCCCACACAGGAGCGTAATCGATGCACACTGGGACTTTGACTCCCCTTGGTGCCCCCAGTGCTGATACGACATAGTCGCCAACAAGGATGGGTACTGAAAAAGGTTTACTCAAGTACATCTTGAGTTGGGAATTTGTTCTTAGTGAGCTACAATAACATCATCTCAAGAAGCTCCGATGGCTTCTTTGTTTT